TTGGATAAATTCTAAGGAGAGGGATTCCTGGGTCAAATGGTATTTCTATTTTTAATTTTTTTGAGGAACCTCCATATTGCTTTCCACAATGGTTGAACTAGCTTACATTCCCACCAGCAGTGTAGGAGGGTTCCCCTTTCTCCGCATTCTCACCAGCATTTGTTTTTATTAGTCTTTTCACTGGTGGCCATCATAACTGGTATGAGGTGATATCTCATTGTGGTTTTAATTTGCATTTCCCTGATGATTAGTGATGAGGAGCATCTTTTCATGTGCCTGTTGGCCATCTGAATTTCTTTGGAGAACTGTCTCTTCATATCCTCTGCCCATTTTTTAATAGGGTTATTTGCTTTTTGGGTGTTGAGGCATCTAAGTACTTTATATAGTTTGGATGGTAACCCCTTGTTGGATATGTCATTTACAAATATATTGTTCCATACTGTAGGATGCCTTTTTGTTCTGTTGATGGTGTCCTTTGCTCTACAGAAACTTTTTAGTTTGATGTAGTGCCATGAATTCATTTTTGCTTCTGTTTCCCTTGCTCAAGGAGATACATTCAGAAAGAAGTTGCTCATGCTTATATTCAGGAGATGTTTGCCTATGTTGTCTTGTAAGAGTTTTATTGTTTCATGACTTACATTGAAGTCTTTGATCCATTTCTAGTTTATTTTTGTGTATGGGGTCAAACAATAATCCAGTTTAATTCTCTTGCATGTATCTGTCCAGTTTTGCCAACACCAGGCATTGAAGAGGCTATCATATCCCATTGTATATCCATGGCTCCTTGAAAGAAGGTTTTTAAGAAGCCTGGATGGATCCAGCTGCTGAGAAGCCCTTGGACTCTGGGTCCCCTGCTCCCTCTCCCTTTCTTGTCTGTGTGTGTTTGAGATGATGGCTCTGCTGCAGGCTTGACTGCCTTCTGACCCCTGCCTGCCACTTCTGGTCTTTGTGATGAAGTCACTCTCAAGTCCTGGACAAAGGCTCCTTGTGCCCTAAGACCCCCCTGAGTTTCCTTGCCATACACTTTCTTTGTTTCCAGGCACCCTAAGACCCTGGTTCCTGGTTCCTGCCAGAACATGGAAGGTCCTGGCCTCACTGGCATCTTGACTCAGGACCTAACTGCTGGGAGCACAGAAGCCAGTGGGCTCATTCTTGTGGGGGCCTAAACTTGGAAAACGATGGGAACTCTTAAGAGAAATGGGTTTGTTCTAGGCTCCCAGATTCTGAGGTGGCTCCAATAGGCTTCTTTCCTGCCCTGAAAATCTGTCACATGCAACTACTTTCTTTTGTAAGTCAAATTTTGTTTCCTACCTCAACACACACACACACACACACACACACACACACACACACACACACACACACACACACACACACACACACAGTAGAAAAGGATTAAGAAAATGCCTAATGTTGCAAGTGCCTGAAGTCAGAAACAGAAAGGCATTGTGAAGGCACTTCCTGGCTGGGTGCATGGGCAGGTGATTAAGGCACTGTTTAGGGAGGAACTGAGGTCTGGTTGACAAACATGGAGTTCTAACCACAGTCCAGTTATTAGTCCACGGGAAACATCCTGTTACTATTATAAAGATGAAGTGCTATTTTTTTTTTAACTTTCTGAAAGTCTTCCTTTCCATTCTGATTCCGTTCAAGTCTGTGAGGCAGGAAGGTCTTAGGGCAGCCATGCCTGCAACATTAGCTAATCAGACTCCCAAGAAACATTCCATTCTGCTTAGGAGGGCTTTGGAGAATGGTTTGCTCATGGTGGCTTTTAAAATAAACTGAGGGTTGCCAGGCTGGACTCCCTGTGGGGCTGATGACCTGGTTCCAGGCTGGTTCCCAGTAGGCTTGCCTCCTGGTGGGATAGTGACGTGTCATTAAACATGGTTGCCTCCCCTGTACCCTATTCTTGGGGGATGAAGTAGAAAGTCTCATACTCACTGTCCCTTCCCATTTTAAAATTGGGGAAACTGAGGCCTAGGAGATCAGTAATAAAAGTAATAATAACAGCCAACACATACAGCACTTTATATTATCTTACCTATAAATGTCAAGGAGGACAGCACCATGGCATAGTGACAAGAAAGATTTGGTCTGATCCTGATTTGCCATTCTGATGCTGTGTGACCTTGTGTAAGTAACTAAACCTCTCTGAGACTTTGTGTCCTTTTTTGTGAAATGTTGATAATCCACCTACAGGGTTGTTGTAAGGTAGAAATAATGAATGCAGAGTACCTAGAGTAGTGTGTGGCACCTAGCAGGTACCTGATCAAGGGTCTTTATTATTACTAGAGACACAATGCAAGCCAGTTATAGGATAAACAGTGTCAGTGTTTTCCATCTTGCTTGATAGCAAGAATTACCCAAGGAACTGGTTAAAAGACGGATCCCCAGGTCTCATCCTCTGCAGCTGATGGAAAGGTACAAAGTCTATATTATTGCAAGCTACCAGGCGATTCCTATCAGGCAATTCTGGAGCACATCCAGGAACCCTCCACTCCAAACTTGGGGTTTGGCTCTTTTGTTTCTTTGTGTACCTGGCCCCCATTCAGTAAAGCTTTAGCTTTTGCTTGAAGATGGACATAATTCAAAGGTCAGATATTACATATTCTCAAAGGGAATGTGCCCTGAACTTCGCACAGCAGATATATAGCCTCAAAAGCTGTTTGCAAGTGGAATTGGTGTGTGTGTGTTTGTATGTATGTATGAATGGGCATATATTTACTAGCTTAGTTTGCTATTCAAGGAATGCTTTCAATTCAACTAAATAATGATTATTTGAGTGACCGTTATGTGCTGGGGATACAATGATAAGCAAGATGCAGGCCCCATCTTCAAGGAGCTTACTGAAAAGTCCAGTGAGGAAGATGGTCAAATGAACAGGCAATTACAACACTTTGGTTACATGAGGTTAAGACAGGGAGCCGTAAGAGCATGGAGGGGGAAGTGCACTCAACATCTGGGAAGTTCTAGGGTTGGGACATCTGAGGAAGAGACATATGAATTGGAATCTAGTCTCAAATCCTTTTGTAGAGTGAATGATCCTTCCCTAATTTATCCTTGTGGAAAAATGAACTTTCATATGGTAACCCTGGATACATTTATACAACCGGGCAGCTGCACAAATATTGAGTTCCTGCCTTGGGCAAGGCACTGAGTGAGGTGTTGCAGGGCAACCAGGGTGAGAAAGGCCCAATTCCTGCCCTCAGGGGGTTTATACCACACCTACTCAGGATTAATTTCATTTCTCATATAGATTATTAATCCAGTGGGATCTGTTTATGACTAACAGGGAGTTTATTATTCAGGTTTTAACTCCTTTAACTGAAAAGACTATTTATTCTCTTTCATCACTATGGTGAGGAAGTGGAGGTCCAACCAACACTTATGTGCTGGCATGTATTTTATCGAGGAGAAAATCAAAGGGCACAATGGAGTCCATAGAGTTGTTTACAGACCCAAGCCGCAAAGTTGTGGAGGCCTGGATGGATCTTTAGGGTCTGTAGGATCTGTGAGTATCTGGGACAGCTTGCACTAAGTCATGCTTTCCTTCCCTCTGGGCATCATGGACACGAACACCTTTCAAACCTATCTCTGCCCCAGGAAAAGGAGGAGGCAGGGAGGAATTCCTTGTGAATTGTGATAATTATGTCATGTTTACACAAAACTTGGCAAGGTATTTAAGTCAACAGGAGAGGTCCCCTTACCTTCTGAGCTTGTGTGTGTGCGGTCGGGTAGCAACTATTTAGGGCTTTTGAATGAAGGTGTGCTACCATCTTGCAGACAGGTACGAGGGCTGTCTGGAGGCAGTGTGGACACCTGTTGTTTGCACCTTGCTGCACACAGAATCCAGCCCAGACTCATTATTCAAAGTTTCCCACAAATATGAGCCCCTCCACCCCCACCCCCACCTTCTCATTCCCTGTTTCTCAGAAGACCAACTTTGGAGCATCTGTCTACTGCTTTTTGCCAAGTTGCTCCCACTTCCTGAGGTGCTACCCACCTCTATCTGGTGAAATTCAACCCATCCTTCAAAGCCCAGCTCAGGTGTCACCTCTCCGCCTCCTTGGAATTCATCTTCCCCTCCCCAGGAACTCCTTAGTTTGGCCTTATCTCTAATTACTTCTCCCTGGGCAACGGGCCTAGGACCCAGACCTTCTGTTCTCTCCTCTGTGCAGGGTATAGTTTTAACATCTGTCGTGATCTTCACCCCCTTTCAGGTGTGGGCTTCTTTGACGGTGTGATGCAAGCTGCCAGGAGAGCTAATGTTTACTGAGGCCCACTGTGTGTCAGCCCTAGTATTCAGGACTTCTCTGCCCATTATCTCATGGGATCGTCAGTCGAGTCTATCCAGGTACTAGCACTACCTTCATTTCACAGATGAGGAAAGGTGTGCCCAGAGAAGTGAAATGCCTCTCCGGAGGTCACACAGCTAGTACTGCGTGACTAGCAGAGCCAGGCTTACCATACGCCAGAGCTGGAGTCCTAATCACTGGACCCGCTCCAATGCCGGCTGTCTCCGCGGCCTGGGGATGGGGGCGGGGAGAACATAACAGCACATCTCCTACAATTTAGGGGTTCAATCAACCCCGAGCCTGATCACCAAACGGGCTTTTGCGGGGTTGCTGTCCAGACACAGGCCTGGCTGTTTCTCAGGGTCTCGGTCCACATATGGAGACCCAAACCCGGTCCGTGGAACAGCGCGGAGGCTGCGGTGCTCGTACAGAGAAGTACCGGCTCGCAGAGGGCGGGTATGCCGGTGGCGCTTCCTCTGCCGGCAGGAGGGGAGCCGCCAGGGCGCGCACGGGGCGCGCCGCCGCCCCCTCCCCGCCGCCCACCCGGCCGGCTCGGCGGGGGCGGGGGCTGCAGCAGGAGGGCTGTGAGGGCCCCCGGCGCGCTGCAGCCACCCGGCCGGCCCGGGCGGGAAGAAGTGATGAATATTCAGAGGGGGAGGAGGCTGAGTGCTCGCTGCGGCTCCCTTAAGCCCCAACCGCCTGACGCGCGGAGGAGGCAGCGGGAGCCGCCGGTGCCGCGAAAGCTGAGATCAGGGCGCCGAGCGCGAGGGGTGGGCGCCGCTAGCTCCGCCCCGCGAAGCTCCTGCGCGCCCAGGGACGCGTCCCCTCCGCGGCAGTCGCGCCAGGCTCCGCCGTGTGGCCGCCGTTGCCATGTCCCCGGGGAAGCCCGGGGCGGGCGGAGCGGGGACTAGGCGGACCGGTTGGAGGAGGAGGCGGCGGAGGTGGCGGCTGGAGGCTGCGACAGGGGCGCCCGGGCTCGGGCGTAGAGCAGAGCCGGACTCCCGGATCCCGGGCACGTACCAGGACGCGCGGGAGATGAAGCGAGCGGCGCGGGAGGCGCAGCCGCCTCCGCGCTCACCCCGGCTGCGCTGGGCTCTGCCGCCGCTCCTCCTGCTGCTGCTGAGCCTGGGCCAGGTGAGCCGGCGGGAGGGCCCGGGCCCGGGCGGGGGGCGGGGTTGGCGTCCCCTGCACCTGCCTCGTGAGCCCCACCTGCGGGCTTCGCGGGCGCCGGCGGGGGCCTGCGTCTGGAGCTCCCATCTTGAAGGGCTTCGCGGGCCGGCGACCGAGCCGCTTCCCCGGCTGCCCAACTGCAGACGGGGGCTGCGGGAGCCGGGGTCCCGGGGTGCCCGCTGCCTCCCACTGGAAGCGCCCGCTCTGGCTGCAGGCCGCCTCTAGCCCGGCCCTTCCCGGAGCTGGTCACATCTGCACGGCACGGGCCCGGCTCGCCCGCCCGAAGAGGCCCGAGGGGGGCGTGTTTGCGAAGGGGCCACGACGCGGAACCGAGCGTCCTGGCCGAGCCACGGCCGTCCTCCGACCCGGCCTTCAGGGGCCCGAGGGGCTGGGCCGAAGGGCAGCGGCGGTTTCGGGGAACCGGGCAGGGCCGGGCGCCGGGCGGCTGGGCGGCCGGGCGGTGGGAGAGGCCCGGGACCTCTGGACCGAGGGCACTGCTTCTGGGGAAAGTCCCCAGCCCCGGGGAAAGCTGAGACTCTCAGGCTTTTCTCAAGGAGGACGGTCCTCTTCCTGGAGAACCTGCTTGCTTCCTTGGGTGTTTAATTCGTGCTTTGTGGGCGCGGACTCTAGCTTCCCTACCCCCCACCGCCCTGTTTTCTAGCTTTGCTTTTCAGATAACGCCGGGCTTGGCGTTCTGGTGACCAACCTTTCTGAAAGCGCCGTTTCATCCTCTTGGTATTCCCATTGGGGATGAGGCAGAGCAGCTGGGGAGGCGTTCCCATTTCACAGATGGGGAACTTGAGGGAGGGAAGTGAAAGGAGCATCATCGCCTAGCCCTTTGCGCGGGAGCTGAGCAAGCGGTTTGTTATCACAGCCTTCTAGGAGCCAGCTGGGGTCTTGCACTGCAATGGAAGGTGGTGTGGTGTTCGCCCTGCTGTGCGTTTTGTTAATGAAAATCTTGCTTGTTTTATGCAGACAGCAGCTCTAAGGAGATGATGTTTGAAGCCTGGGAAGTGAGTTAATGGCTGGGAGGAACCTGGTTTCAGGGAAAACTTTTAAAGGACAAACACAGGATTGTCCAAGAGCAGAAGCATTATTAGCCTTGGAGCAGCAATGAAGCCCAGCAGGCAGGATGAGAAGGGAGCTGGGGCTTGGGCTCTGTAGTAACTCTCTGCACCCGAAGGGTAGCAGTGGGTACTAATGTCCCCTCAAACCTCGGCAGGCTTTGGGAGGCCGTGTGATTTCCTGCAGAGAATGCTCGATTCGGTGTCAGAAGACCAGCTCCAGGGCCAGGCTTCAGGGCTGGACAAGGTCTTTAGTCTCCAGCACACTCAGCTGACAGCATTTGTAGGATGGGTGTGATACCAACTGCCCCACAGAATGGTTTGAGGGGCTTCCACTGACCAACGTCCGAAAGAGCTTTGTAAACATTAATGGGTGGGATTATCACTAAGGTGAGTGTGTATGGGCTGTCCTCTCCCTGTCCCTGTGGGGAAGTGCATGGAGGGCAGTCTAAGAGATTAAAAAAAATTTTGCCTTATGATTGACGATCTCTTACATCAAAGTTTATACTAAAGAAATGTTTTCCTTCATTTATTTTTTCATTTAATTTGGTACATATACAGATATGTGGGCATTTAAAATTTTATTTATTTATTTTTGCTTTGTAGTTGCTATCTATGCTTCAAATCAGTGAAAAATTTCTTCGGTAAATTTATTTCTTGCCCAATCCTTCCTTGTAACATAATGCCGCTCTTCCCTCATACCCTATTCAGATATTTCCTTCCTTTCTCATTTGTTCTGAGGAAACTCCAGATGTCTCTTATTTTTGATTTTTGAATACATTGTAAAGTAGGAAATCTAAAAGACTCTGAAAAAGTATTTTTGAAATCCACATTTGACAGTTCATTTTGATATCGGATATTTTCAATGCATTTTTGAGCTGGACCAGATTTTCAAAATAGCTCAAATTCTTTACTTTTTTAGATGAGGATATTGAGGTGCAGACACGACAGAGATCAAGCTGAGGCCCCCTGGGCAGGACCACGGAGGAGCGGAGCCTGGGGTCTGCCATGCTTGTCTGTGCCCGGTGTTTTCAGGATGCTTTTTTTTTTGGCCGTGTTTTCACTTTGCTGTTACTTTTTTTTTTTTTTGGTGTCATTAATCTACATGAAGAACATGTNGGTGTCATTAATCTACATGAAGAACATGTTTACTAGGCTCCCCCCTTCACCAAGTCCCCCCCACATACCCCTGCACAGTCACTGTTCATCAGCGTAGTAAGATGCTGTAAAATCACTACTTGAATTCTCTGTGTTGTACAGCCCTCCCCGTGCCCCCCACACACTATACATGCTAATCGTAATGCCCCCTTTCTTTTACTTTGCTGTTACTTTTAACTGTAGGCACAACCCTACCTCACTGTGTACTCCCAAAACTGTAACTGCAAATTGAGTTTTTCAAAGTTAAGTATTTGAGATATTTGAGGCTGGAAGTAATATTTAATATTTCTGAAGTTGTGTGGTTAGGAAATGTGGGTGAAGGTGTCTATTTCTGTAACACTGGATTGGTTTTGTGAGGTTTGGATAATGTGTGTGTCTAAATGGAATCAACTATAGCAGGTTAAAAAAAAGGACAAGTCATGGAAAAGACGAAGCTATGTTTGGGCATTTATGAGGAAGGGGTGTGGAAGCTGGAACCCGGAGATGCTGGAAAACTCAGTGCTTAGTAAGACCAGAAAAGCCATTTTTGAACCTGGCATCCCATTCCCATTCTTCAAGACAGGAAGGAAGGATGGTTGGAGATGATTCCAACATGAGGACTTTGTTGGTCTGACTTCACCCATTCTCGTAGCAAGTTTGCACACCAATTTTGGTTTATGTATATGTTTTAGGCAATGTGACAAAGCAATTTCCCCCCTTGCCACCTCCTCTTCAGAAATGTAGTTTTGACAGATTCTTTAAGCTCGATAGTGGGCTGCTTTAAAATGAGGAAAGAAAAAAGCTAGTGATCTGTAGCTGCTTTGTTGCTCATATAATTGTTTTGGATTTGCTTCCCCCCATTTTTTTTTCCTGGTGAAAAAATATTTGTGTTTATTATCTATTACAGCTAATCCTTAAGCCTGATTACCTTCATCCAGGATCCAAAAAATACTTTGACTTCTCTTTAAATTGCTTGTTAAATTCTCATAAGGGCGACTTCAAATATTTTTTGTTTCTCTTCAGAACAACAATGGAAAAACCAAACGGTCATGTTTTGTTTGTATCCAGTGTAAGAAAACGGAGCAAACTTGTTTATGGTCAGACTGTGATTTTGACTTGACTTCAGGTTTAGCCCCACGATAAAGATAACCATGGAATACGCAAGGTTTCCTGAGCAGGCAGATCCTGGCTTCTCATGAGTCATTTTGATCAGCTAAGAGGTTATTTGGCTCCTAAAAGTAAGTTTTGCGTGGGGTTGAGGCTGAGGCAGGGTTGCTGAATGACTGTAGGCCTGAGTTTTGTCAGCATATCATTAGCAATTACTTCTTAGTTCCTTTGCTACTTGGTCAAAAGAATTATGTTGAGTGTAGGATCAGAGACAGTTTGCTATGTTATTTCCCTTCTAACATAATGCTGATGATAGCATTATAATTAATAGGTAACATTTTCATGGCAGGTACTGTGCTAAGGGTTTTAATGCGTTATCTCATTTGACCATATCAGAAATACTAGGTTCTGTTCATATTCCTATTTTTCCTGAGAGAAAACAGCCAGAACTTCAAAGATTCATAACTGGTGTGTGATAGAGCCAAGTCTCCGTTGCCCTATTTTACTATCCTATGTGTAAGGTGTCTTGTGTTCTAGAGGGTTTCAATGTGCAGCCCAGAGATGAAGTGACAGACTTTTGTGGTGGACAGTCTTGTGGTACCTGAACCCAGATTGGTCAGGGAATCATTTGGGGTTTTCTGCATCTCAAACCCAATAGGATCTGTTCCTTTGGTCACAAGGATAACCCAGGTTCTCTCCTTCCTGCTCATGTTCCTTTGGGAGCCTGAGTTTATGAGGCAAGCCTATCTTAGTGGAGACAAAATGTGATCTGGAGTGGAAAGACCTGGGTTCAGGTCCTCGCTCTGCCACTTATAGCTATATAAACTTGGGCAAGTTCCTTAACCTCTGTGACTCCTCATTTCCTTATCTGGGAAATGGGACTAATACTTCCTGCTTCACTGGGTAGTTGAAGGGATCAAGTGAGTTAGAAGAGGAAGTACTGTGTGAAATCTAATGCACGATGCAATTGCCAGTTGTGGTTGCTGCTGTTATTTGGGGAGAAGTGGTGAGGCTTCAAGTCATTAGTTTATGTAACATTTATCAAGTAGTTATGTAATGAAAATTTATCAGTATTTTTCACTTGCAGGAATGCAAAATGAACTTAGGTCAGTCACAAAACATTTTTTTAATGTTAAGAATTATTTACTTTAGGCCTTATTAGTAAAAATGGTAAGTTGCTTATCAAGCCCTTGATATTATATAGGTAGAGTGAAGGTAAATGTAGTAGAATGGTAACTAAGTTGGTTTAAATTTAATAAGTTCATCTAAAGAAAAATGTTGAGTAAATAATTATGTAAGGGTGATGTGGTTATGGTAAACTTGTAAAGGTGACGAATTGCTTAAGTTTGGGAAATACTGAATGCAGGGCAGACACTGAATGGAGGCCAGGGTGATGGGCAAGAAAGAAAGGCAGGCTGAATTCCTGACTCTCACAAGCCTTGGAAGAGAGACATTACCCCCATCACCCGCAGCCAACTGATCACATACAGGCGGTGCGTGAGAGGTCGTGGTCATCCCTTCGGAGAGAGAGTGTAATGATGAGGCAGAGTCCCCACATGGAGATCCTGGAGTGGCAGGTATCTCAGATCAGAGAAGTCCACTCTGCAGGTTTGTCACCATCACATATGGCCTTCAGTGGCTTTTCTGGACAAGAGC